GGATTACAAACTGCTGTAGAGACTTTAACTTTGCCCCTGGGGCTGGACTACAATTATTTTGGGCCCTCTCCTTGCTATTTCCCATACTGGGCACTGCCACCCCCCCTTGCAATCCCCCATTGAGTGCACATCTTGCTCAACTCCCTAAATATCACACAGTAAAAGTGACCCCCTCCTATGGGTCACTATAGAGTCAGTAGATTGTAACCCCTCATGAGTTGCCAATTTACTATGGCTACACCCAAGAGACCGTCGCTCACTCCAACACCCAATTAATCAACACTACCATCTATCTGGGACAGTCTAAAGTTCTGATACACCTTTCAGTCACCCCATAACCCACTCATGGCATACCTCCTCAATCCAGGCTTTTTATCCGGCATGGATGCCCTCCATCTTCTTTTCATGCTTGTCCTAGAGCTAGTCTAGTTCAACACCAGACTCCTTTATACCCTTCCAAACCCTATGTGACTCCAACAAAATCTCTACATCTGAAATTTTTAGATATCTTCAGATCAAACACTTGTATTGCTCCCACTTACACATGAACACCTCTGTCCTAGACATGACTAGGTTTGGACACATATGTAAATGTGACCCCCCCATGCCAGACTTTTGATTTCCACCTTATATGCACAGTTACCAGCTCCACCACCTTACACTTCCTTACCATATACATGCAAGTGGGAATGGGATTTTAAATCTTCATTTGAAAACGATTGGGCAGACATATGGTCTGCTGCAAAAATCCTCCTCCCAAAATATAGTTGCTATGGAGACTAACCACAGCACTCTCATGCACTGGTACCTGGTCCCTGCCCAGATCCCTAAATCCATCCCTAATCCCTGACTTGTTTATGTGGCTGCTCTGAAGCAGGTATCCACATTTGGTGGACCTGCCCAGTTGTTCAAACGTATTGGTGCAAAATATTCCATATGCCTACAGTTCTTTATGAAGAAGTTACAGTATATATATCCATCCGGCCACTGCCTCATTTAATAACAAGCCCCAAGAAGTATACCTTATGGTGTGTCTCCAAGCTATGGATGGAAGGAAAGGGATCACCCCACCGGCAAGTGAGAAGAGGGGAGCATGAGTCAGAGCAATTCCAGTGTCAGCCAATACAAGTAAAGGGATGGATGCAGTGTGACCAAGCCCTAGTGGGCGGGGTGAAATGCATCAGAGGGCGTGGCTAGAATGGCAGCTGAGGCCATTCCTCAACACTGGACTGGGGTCGGTTGACCAGCGTCCATTCCTTTACTTGCATAAGGCCCAAGAAGTGACACACTGGCAATTCAAACTACTCCTGTAGGTCACCACCACGGCTTAGCAAACCATAGCGAAGGCCTGGAAATCCCCCCACCTCAATACCACTGAAACTAAGAATAGTGTCACTCGAGCCACGATACATGTCAAAGTAGAAGCCGTCCTATTAGACAGAGTGCATAAAAATGAACAACTATGGCAACCATGGGTTGACCATTTCCTACCCTCAAACTCTGATGAAACCTTACTCTCTTTGTAGTCCTGAGTCCATTAGGTAACCCACTACTCAGTTGCTACTCTATACACAGGCACACACCCTCCCCCCCCTGGGGACCTCCTCTCCTCCCCCCTTATCTGTACCCCTTTCTTCACTACTCTTGCTCTTATATCTCTCCATTGCTCTCTTCCTTTTCACCTTTCCTCTCATTAGCTCTTTATCCCTTATGGGGTTTTCCCAATTGGGGGAACCTACACTATCAGTTTGAATTTTCAGTGAGGCGGACAGGTCACCCACTCGTCTGCCACTGATATCTGCATACAGGTTGAAGTACTAAATCTATACTCCCACTGTGAGAGTACCAGAAATGATACTATAGAGTATATAACATGTTTCAGTCTCTACATTCACTCCTCCCTTGATACTATAGCACTGTTATCTCTTGCTGAAGTTAAAGTAGAGCTCCACCCAAAAGGGGAAGTGCTGCTTTAACTAGTTGATGACCGCAGGTAGCCAAATGATGGCTGCACTGCAGCCGGCCAGTTCTGGGAGGCCGTCATATGACGTCCTCCCAGAACGCGCTCTCCTGCATGCCCCCGGTGATCTCTGTGATTGCTGTGTCCTATGACATACTGGTCACTGGGAAATGTAATTGCCGGGTTCTTGACTGCACTTTCCTCACGCTGTCGGAGCATGAGGAAAGTACTGCCGGCAGTTGTCAGAGGAGGGATTGGCACCAATCATCAGGGCACTGATGATCAGTGCCCTGAGGATCGGTGCCCAGCAGCGCCACCCACCAGTTCTGCCCACAAGTGCCCAGCAGTGCCACCCACCTTTGCCCAGCAGTGTTGCCAGTCAGTGCCCAGCAGTGCTGCCAGTCAGACCCACCAGTGACACCCAGCAGTGCTTTCCAGTCAGTGCCCAGCAGTGCCGCCAGTCAGTGCCCATCAGTGCTGCCTATCAGTGCCTATCAGTGCCTACTATCAGTGCCAGCTCATCAGTGTCACCTATCAGTGCCATCTCAGTGCCGCCTATCAGTGCAGCCTCATCAACGCACATCAGTGAAGGAGAAAAATTACCTGTTTGCAAAATGTTATAATAGAAACAAAGAAACTTTTTTTTTTTCAAGTTTTTTTGCTCTTTTTTTGTTTATGGCACAAAAAATAAAACACTCCAGCGGGGAGTAAATACCACCAAAAGAAAGCTCTATTTGTGTAAAAAAAAATGATATAAAAATTTAATATGAGTGCAATGTTGCATGACCGCGCAATTGTCATTTAAAGTGCGACAACGCTGAAAGCTGAAAATTGGCCTGGTAAGGAAGGGGGTATAAGTGCCTGGTAGGCAAGTGGTTAAGGACCCCACTGGCACCTTTTGGGGGGATAACCGAAATTGTCAGGTACCCGCTCCCACTTCTGCTGCAATCACCTAGGTGATCAGAAGCGGAAGTTGTCCTCCCCCCTCCCTCCCTCCCTGTAGTCTTCTGGGACACATGAAAGGTCCTAGAAGACTACAGGACCATTCACAAAGCACAGAGATACTCGCACATGCTCAGTGGGCACCCGGATGTGAAGCCGCAAACTGTCACAGCTGGGTGCCCACACTGAAGATGCCGGCACTGGAAACACAGGGCGGCCGGTGAAACGGGCTGCGGGGAGGACACCACGAGATCGAGGGACAGGTAAGTATCTGTCTTTTAAAAGTCAGCAGCTACAGTTTTTGTAGCTGCTGACTTTTATTTTTTTTTTAATTTTCACTGGAACTCCACTTTAATGTATGAAGATATTATTTGTAGTGTACAAATTACAACCTGTACGTTACCTCTAAGGGTTGACCCCTTCTGACTTACTGTTGGTGAGTCCTGCAATCACATTGTTATGAGCTCCTGTAAAAACTATTATCTCTTTCCAATAAAATCTATGAACAAGAGAAGATATGGACCCCACAATTCCTCTATATACTCCACAATTCTCCCATGTGGACACCTCGTAAGTGGTTCTCCAGTATAGACTCCCAGTTTGGGGAACTCATTTAGAAGAAGCCGTCAGCTAGAATCAAACTCACTACTCTACAGTATGGTGAAGACCAAGGAGGCCTAGCAATACCAAATGTTAGACTTTATATTATAGCTGCCCAACTTCAACATCTTACCAGGTGGGACTTAGTAGACACATTAGATCCCATCCATCGGTTGTTACTTCCATCAGATACAGATTTCACATCACTCTCACACTTGTTAATGGGCTTCAGATGGCACCAGTGGGAAAGGCATGATCTCTCATCTATTTATTCCAGTCTTTTGACTCTTACGAAGACTTATAGAAAGAAATGGGAAACAGAGAAAAATAATAGAGAGTGGTGGGAGGTGATTGTGACCTCCATACCTCTCATCTCTCTGTCCTCTTCACAGAAACTCAGTCATTTCTTTTGCATAGAGCTTTCAGGACTCCAGCTCAATTGTTCAGCTAGGACAGGAGGGATTTCCCCTTATGACCCCAATTGTAGCGGTGATGTCGGGGATTTGATACATGTTTTGGAGATGTCCAAAATTATCAAAAAGTGGAACGATATGACCAGTATTATAATGTTGGTGTTCAATATTCCTCGGGTGTGCCTCTTGGTGTCTCAATAGAGGAGGAATTATTTACACCTCCTCCTATTACAAGTCATAGAGCAATAGTGAGGCTGCTTGACCATAAAAAAAATATCCCGATCTTGGCTATCATCTCAAACTCCCAGCAGACAACAGTGGATTGAGCAGGTGATCTCCACATTAACATGTGAAAAATGAAACTCTCCAACATTGTAATTCCCCCAGGAGATGTATGTCTGGCAGAACTGGCTGGATACTCCTTGCTCTCTCTCCTAGTTAGTTCTTCATAGGCTTTTAAAATCTTAGCTCATTTAGCCCCATAGAAGGAGAACGGCCAGTTGTATCCTACTGAATGGTAACTACATTGGAGACCCATACTTGGGGTATGATCCTGTAGACACGGGCCTCATTGATCGGTGTCAGCTATCTATGTATGTACTGGGGGGAGTTACTTGCCGTGTACAGCTGAATTGTTCTAGGTTTGTTTCTTCTTTTCTCTGTTCATTTTGTTTATAAAAGGTAAAAGTGACACCATAGACAAAGCAAGTTATTGTTCTGTATGATCTGTAACAGTGCCACAACTGCCTATACGTGAGAATGTATGACTCCATTGTCTGGGCTGAATGTTGGGAATACTGTGCGCACTTAGAAACTTTCTTAATAAAATCTATTTGATTAAAAAAAAATACTGTAGATAATGCTGTACATATTCTTTCTATTCATAAAAGATATATTTAGTAATGAACATTAAAAATAGAAAAAACTTTATGTAGCCCTTTATATAGAATTTTAAATTTAATTTTTTTTTTTTTTTGTACAGGTGAATTGATGAGCCAAGTTTTCGGTCATGTTGGTCTTCATGAATACAGCTGAGTCACATGGAAAACAAGACATATGGATGTCTTAATTGACTGAAAGTCTTTATTGCAGTTCACTGGAGGATTCACACGGGATACAAGTCATATCTGTGTTCTAAAAGTCATGGTTTGGATCTCTCTTCCACATTGATCCAGCCTCAGAGGACAACAGGAGAAAAGGAATTTCAGTGTTCTGGAAGTGACAATTACTTTACACTAAAGTCCAAACCACATATACATAAGAGGAGTCATTTCATACTACTTCTTGTTTGGAGATTTTACAATGGAGAGAAAATATATCACACACCAGAAGGTTCACAATGGAGGGAAGTCATATCCTTGTTCTGAATGTGGCAAAACTTTTACAAGCGAGAGAGACCTTATAGTACACCAAAGAGTTCACACTGGAGAGAAGCCATATCAGTGTTCTGAATGTGATAAAGCTTTTACACAGAAGTCAATCTTACACACACACCAGAGGAGTCACACTGGAGAGAAGCCATATCAGTGTTCTGAATGTGATAAAGCTTTTACACAGAAGTCACATCTTATCACACACCAGATTGTTCACACTGGAGAGAAGCCATATCAGTGTTCTGAATGTGACACCAAAGCACTTTTACACAGTGTTCTGAATGTGATAAAAGTCAACAGAGGAGAGTCTTGGAGATCACACACCAGAGGATTCACACTGGAGAGAAGCCATATCAGTGTTCTGAATGTGATAAAGCTTTTACACAGAAGTCAATCTTATCACACACCAGAGGATTCACACTGGAGAGAAGTCATATCAGTGTTCTGAATGTGATAAAGCTTTTTAGTCAGAAGTCAATCTTATCACACACCAGAGGATTCACACTGGAGAGAAGTCATATCAGTGTTCTGAATGTGATAAAGCTTTTACACAGAAGTCAATCTTATCACACACACCAGAGGATTCACACTGGAGAGAAGCCATATCAGTGTTCTGAATGTGATAAAGCTTTTACACAGAAGTCAATCTTATCACACACCAGAGGATTCACACTGGAGAGAAGCCATATCAGTGTTCTGAATGTGATAAAGCTTTTACAGAGAAGTCATCTTAGGATTCACACTGTGGAGAGAAGCCATTTTAATGCTCTCAATGTGACAAAACTTTTACAGTTAATGCCGGTCTAATCTATCACCGGAGGATTCACAAATTTCAGCATAGATTAAATTCTGGAAGAAAAGAGATATTAAAGAAGTTTCAGGTGTCACAAGTTAGTTTCACATCCCAATGTCATCCCCAAGCAAGCTAGAGAAGAAGGGAGAAGATAAAATGTTACCTTAAAAGAAACAAACTAAAATCTGAGCAAACTGGAATGTAAATGATCGGATGAACTGAGTTTAGTGCTTATGTCCATCAATACACAACTAGAAGGGATTTGAATATTTTATCTTTTGACAATTTTTTTAAGAATAAGCATCAATAACTGAAAAGCTTCCCTCATGATTCTCATCTTTATCTTTATTATGGAGCTTTGAATGAACATGTAATGCATTTTCATGATTCACCAACTGAGTTGTGTTTCCAAGCATTTTCTTCATTTCTGGATCCTGAGGTAATACATGACCAACACTGCCTCAGTACCAGAGACTAGGATGGGGTCTATTGTCATCTTACCAAGTCTCTGAAGCCTCAGTGGGAGAGTCCATTCCAGGTTCTTCTGACTATTGATACATGATCAGCCAGGCTTGAGGTCTCCAGCTAAGCCCACCTTGTCCACTCCTCCCATTACATGTTCCATCTCCTCTCTCCCATTATCAATGACTTCTTTCCACATTTCATCTCTCTCATTATTATTATTATTATACAGGATTTATGGCGCCAACAGTTTGCTCAGCGCTTTACAATATAATGGGAGACAATACAGTAACCATACAGTTTAATACAAGAGGGATAGGAGGGCCCTGCTCCTCAGAGCTTACAATCTAGGAGGGAGGGGCTAGTGGTACAAAAGGTAGTAACTGTGGGGGATGGATTGGTTGGAAGAGTAGAAGATTCCATTATTAGCTGAGGGCAGGATAGGCTTCCCTGAAGAGAGAGGATTTCAGAGATCGCCTAAAAGTGAGCAGAGTAGGCAATAGTCTGATAAATTGGGGTAGAGCATTCCAGAGGATGGGGGAAGCTCTGGAGAAGTCCTGGAGATGAGCATGGGAGGAGGAGACAAGGGAGCTAGAGAGCAGGAGGGTGTGCGAGGAGCCGAGAGTACAGTTTGGGTGATATTTGGAGACAATATTGATGATGTAATTTGGGGCAGAGTTATTAATGACTTTATATGTTTTTGTTAATGTTTTGAATTTTTTGGGCAATCCGTTGGCAATGGGAAGCCAGTGGAGGGATTGGCAGAGAGGAGTTGAGGACACTGAATGGAGGCCACTGGAGGGATTGGCAGAGGGGGGTGGAGGACACTGAATGGAGGCCAGTGGAGGGATTGGCAGCGAGGGGTGGCTGATACAGAATGGTTAGTAAGGTGGATGAGTCTGGCAGCAGCATTCATGATAGACTGAAGAGGGGATAGCCTGCAATGTGGTCGGCCAATGAGGAGGGAGTTACAATAGGCGAGATATAACAAGGGGTGAGTGAATAAGTATGCTTGGAGCTGTTGAAGTCTACGAGGTTGAAAACAATGGGACTAGGATTACACCTAGTACCCTTGATGGACTGAATTGATCATGGGAAGGGAGGGCACAGGCTGGAGGGAATACTAAGAACTCAGTTTTGGAAAGATTGAGTTTGAGGAAGTGGAGTGACATCCATGCCGATATGTCACTTAGTAGGTTAGTAATGCGAGAGGAGACTGAAGGGGCGAGGTGAGGAGGAGATTGAAGGGGTGAGGTAAGGGGTAGAAAGATAGATTTGTGTGTCATTAGTATAGAGGTGGTACTTAAAGGACCCCTACAGAAAGAGGGAGTGAAGAGGAGGAGGCAGAGTTATATAGGTAACGCTGATGGAGCGCCATGTGCATATAGGGGGATAGGAGTGAGAACCAGGAGAGAGCAGAGTCTTGGAGGCCAAAAAGAAATGGAGATTTGGAAGAGGAGGGGATGGCAGAGGTGTAGATAACGCTGCAGAGAGTCATGTGATAGGTAGGGTTGGGAGATACTAGGAGAGAGCAGAGGCCTTGGTTGGCCAACTGAGTACGGAGTATTTTTGGTTGAGGAGGTAGGGAGATGGCCACCGTTTGGAAGAGTATTTGGGATTGAGTACGGACTCTGTAGTGGCCCATGGTGAGATATTGAGTATTAGTGGCCATTGGTTTGGGATGAGTACGCGGAGTAGATGCCATTGGTTTTAGCAGTTTAGTAGATCATGGCCATGAGTGAGGTTTAGTAGGTTAGTATTTTCAGTGGAGAGTAGTGAAGCGAAAGCCAGATTTTAAAGGGGTGAAGAAGGTTGTTGTCGGTGAGTTAGAGAGCTCAGGCGATTGTAGACTAAGCGTTCTAAGAGTTTAAAGGTAAAACAAGTAGCAGCAGGAGTGGGTCTTAAATTGTTCAGGTTGGTGAGGTCCAGGAGGGTATTTTAAGTATATGGGAGTGATGTGCGCATGCTTTAGAGGGAGTGGAAGAGCACCAGTAGAGAGGGAAGATTGAAGATCGTGAGTGAGGGAGCATAGGATGGAAGAAGAGGGTGACTGTAGTAGTTGTGAGGGGACAGGAAATCCAGGGGGCAGGTAGTGAGAACAGGCTTCTGAGGAAACCTTAGTGACAGCTCTTCGTAGCTAGGAAGGTCCAGAAGAGGGAAAGTGTTTAGGAGAGGTTTAGTATGAGGTATGCTAAGTGGGATGGATGTCTGTGCAGTTTGGAGATGTTCCCTACGAATTGTGTCAATCTTGTTTTTGATGAATGATTTGCAATCTCGTGAGCAAAGATTGGGGGAGTGGAGATGTGAGGGGGGGGAGGTGAAGTTGGAGGGGTAGGGGGAT